GAGTCAGAATCAATTTGACCAACCTGCACGAGAACGAAGAACAGTTTAGGCGTCATGCTGGTCTGCTGCTGCCACGCCCAGTGATGGATGCTGGCCTCAGTCGCTCTTTTGTACCCCGGAGGCGCTGGCGCTGTAGTCGAAGATGGTCTGGTGACTTGTGACGATGCAACTCTGGGGCTCACGCGGAGTGGTTGTCGATACGACGTGAAGTTTAAGGACAGCAAGTTCACACGTGGCAAGTGTATGTTTACAATCAGCACTGTAGCGTGGTTGTTTCCTTGGACGAAGTGACTTGTAGAATGGTAGTCGACTGGCCATGGGGATGCCATGATCAGCAGCTGCACGAGAACGAAGAACAGTTTAGGCGTCATGTTGGTCTGCTGCTGCCAAGCCCAAACAGTAAAATGTTACACTTTACTGTTTGTAAGTTGTGCAAGAGAGTAGACGCTAGGGCCTTGTTCGTAAACAGTGCGGCGTCGAGCAAAGGCTGTGGCCCAATGGCTATGAACTGCAACTCCAAGAGGAGAAATCTTGATTTTCAAGGTAATCGATTGCCACTAAACCCCGTGCTTTCAATTCACTTTGGTTTCCGAAGGCTACTATTGCACCGGAGACAAAAAGCTGTTTCCTGCGTTTGAGGTTGGTGATAAGGGGAATTTGCAGCCCTCGTCGCCCCAAGGCGGTCTTCGGGAGTCGGCAAGGTTGTTCAGGAAGTGAACACTGGGGGTATTCCTTTGGTCACCCCTGCTTGCTCCATTCGTAAAGCGTTCCTTGGGGGGCGAGATGAGCTTTAAAGAGAGGCCCTTACTCTGGTATGTGTCCTCAGCTATACGTATTCGAGAGACAATGCAGAGATCATTGTTGGTAGCAAAATCCTGAATAAACTGCTACCAGCAGAGGAAAAAAATTGTAACAAAATAAGTAGGTGGCCTAGTTGGTTGAACTAAGTTTTAAATAATTTTCCTTTAATATTTTTTATTTATTAACGTCTTTATTATCTCAGTCCTCCTTCTAAATCCTTTCCTTTTTCAATTTTATATAAATTTATCTTTGTCCTTTTCTTCCTTTATCTTTTCATTGAAACGTCAGTTGAAAGTAGCGCTTGTCCTCTCCTGTCCTAATATTTTATGATACCAACTGAGGTACTGACAGGGTATACCCGAAGGGTATACCCTGTCAGTACCTCTCCGTCAGTACCGAAGGGTTATTTCAGCAGTGACTGCAGTCTCGAATCGGGAGCCGTCCGTCACCCAGTAGCACAGTCCCACATCTCCGTAACAATGTAAACAATGTTTAGGCTGCGTTACCGTGAATCGGTTCAGTAGACACCTCCGACGTGCCAACAACCGCTACACAGTCTATTATCTCTTGAATACGTAGAACATGGTCCAGGGTAGGACAGAGTCCAAGAGTGTTTATTGGATGCTCTTAAAATGACTGCACCTCGCCCCCATCCAAAATGCTCGCCGCGCCGGCAAGACGACAAATAGTTGTTACCCGCCAGGCACGAGGTCCCAAAAGCGGTCGAGGGTGGGAATGTGTCGAAGAGGTTGCCATCACACACGTCTGAAGCCATACCTTCCCCAAATCAGGAAGAGGCTTCCTTGCCCGAGCGGGGAAATAGGTCCCCCCGGGAGAATGCCGTAGAATGCCGTGCATCCACCCACTGCACACTAAGTGCTTACCCCCAAGATGAAACATTCGAAAAAATATGCGCGGTAATTATATATGTAAATTTGATGACCTCACATACACCCATCCCAGATTTTTTCGCGATTATTTTCAAATTATGAGTGGGCACTTGCTCAGTATTTTACGGTAGGAAGGCTTACTGAGATGACGCTTTACGAACGGGTCAAAGCGCGAGGAGGTGGAGTGTTCCGACGGCGGCATCGAGGAAAGCTGACCGAAGGAACAACGCTCGCTGGCAGAGAAAATTTTTGGGCATTGAGCAACTCCAACTTGTAGTTTGTCAATGGCTCCGAGGGCAATTATACATTCCATTGGGCAGAATTTTCAGCAGCTGAATGGAACGGACGTGCCGATCTCATAACTGCAGGGTGAAGGCCAATTGACACGTGCAACGCGTTTTCCGGTTAGCACCCTGTTGCGTGTGTAAACAGAAAGTCTCGAGCAGCAGAGGGCCAATGCAATGCCTAGATGGCGCAGTCAGTGCCGCGTCCATAGTGCCCAGTTAGAACTGTGCCGTATGGGGCACGTTACGCATCTGAGCCCCGTCGCTGGGTTGGAAATACCTTTCAGTTGTTGGCTTCTTGGTCTGCAGACGAGAATGAAGATTGCATTCTTGTAGCCATTGTCACCGACAGAATGGGAACGGCAGAGCGTATCATTCGGACGCCGGGCCTCGAGGTGTGCTTTGGTCGAGGTGCACGAGACGTTCAAGCGTCATGGAAGGCACCAGAGGTGGAGCAACGGAAGGGGCTCCCTGCCGTTGTCACCTTGTGGCCGGCTGTACGGGTAACGACGAGCTTGGCAACCCATTCTCGCTCATTATTGCGTCGACAATGGGCCGATTTGGGTGGGTTTTTTCAACCGTCTCCTTCGGTAGCTACGGGAAATGACCCAAAGTTTCATAGAAAGTGTGAAGCTAACATTCCGCAAACCAGTATAGAAGTGTGTTGAAACGATAGCACCCACCAAGATATTTAGAATTTGTTTCACCAAAAGTGAATTATCCCAGATGGAATTGAGGAGTCTGCCGACACTGGCCGGCGTCAAGTGGTCAAATTTCAGCGACACATTTAAAGCGACAGATACCGAGGTAGTGCGGATGTCGTCCTTAGTGGGAGACTTGGAGGATGTGGTTCACATATTTCCGCGTGATCGTTGCAAATGTGGCACACTCGCGCCATCTATCCCCGGAACACTCAGGAATCTATGCACTATCTGCAAGGTAGCCCATTGGCGGAATTACTTCGAGATGAAAGAATGATGCATGAAGCATTCCAGGGCTACCCGTTAGATGGCGCCAGCGTGTCCTCATATCACGAGCCTTTGCGGCGGTCGCACTCAAGGCACGTTCACACCGGTAATGTGGAGCACTTGCGCGATGGGGCTAGATCCCATTGCAAAAATAATTGGATGGTCGCACTGGCATGTGCGATGAGAGAGTTGTTTTTCAAAAACTCTCGCTCTGAACGTAGCTGATTGGCTGAGCGGCTCTGCGACTAGATTGCATTGCAAAAAGTCGGGTCAGCTAGCGACTGCTCGAAACGCGTCTCTTTTTTTCCGCGATGATCGCTTTTGTGATGAAAGTTATTGCGCAAGCGCTGCACATCGCCAGTGTGAACGCGCCTTAAAACCCAAACAAATTAAAAAGACACAGAAATAAAAACAAAAAAAATCTTAAAGAGCATAGATAAAATTAACCCACGAAAAAAAATTTTTTCACGCAATATTTACGTTGTTAGGTGCTATTAAGGTGGAGGTCACGGCCTGCTCTAAGCCCCGTCCACAGATTAGTGGCCCCGCCTAGAGTTGAGCCCTGCCCATCACTACTGGATTGGCATGGCTGCTCGGCCGAACACGCTCGCAAGCCTAGTGTCTCCCTTTTGCAACATCCGGTGTGCCTAGTCTAGCGTCTGACACCGCCTGCTAGTCATGCGAGCAGACGCGCGACAGCGTCCGGCATCATCTGCTTTTTGATCGGAGTCTATTGTCGTCTGCAATGCCCGTAACACGCGGGCATGAGAGCTGCACGTCGGTGTCCATCTGCTTTTCCACCTTCGTCTAAAAACTTCCGCGAAGCTCGCAATTCGCAACCATGAAAGTGAAATTCTAGCGTTCCATCATGCAGGAGCCACGCCCCAATACAAGCGTCTGTCGATGTCTGGTAAAAAGTGACCGAGAATACTAAAGAAAATCAAGAAAAATAAATATGCAGTCCTTCCAGTTTTTCTGTTAGTTATTTTTTTTGCATGAGATCCGTGTGCTAAGTGGGTGAGTGTCATGACGTGCTACTAAAACGTCATCTAAAAATATTCTCTTTGGCAGCCCAGGTGCACTGCAAAACTTGAGACTTACTTGTCTCTCGAAGCAAAATGACGGGAACATACCTGGACAAACTTGATGCGAGCCGAACGCCCGATTGCCTCTAGCCAAATGGTTCGCAAATTCTTACCTGCGCAGGTATCTTCTCAGTATTGAAAACATGGTCGCAGTCACGACAGTTGCGCAATTCACAGAGCAGCGGCGCCACTTTTACGGGAACCAACATCTTTATTCACCATGAACGTGCCAAGCCAGATAAAGCAACATAGTTGACAAGGGACGCTCAACTTAAGCCAGTCCCTCTACGAAAACAAGCACCCAGAGCGCTTCCGAAGGTGCTCACCTGTGACAGTTGTTTGCCGCAAATTAGTTTGGTCGAGGATATCTTCCTTTAAACACTTCGGTGAACGCAGGACGACTCACACTTAGAGAAATAAACGAGCTCAACGAGCCACGTTCGTTGAGCACACTGCAAACGCCGGCAGCTATGTTTGTTATTGTTTAAAACCGAAGCAGGAAAGGCAATTTCTGGATATCTTTTAAAACAATAATGACTTATTTCTCAAAGATAAAGAAAAAAACTCGATAAAACTACTATTACGGCACGGATACAATTTTACAACGAAAACTTACACATCAATCCTCTCCAGCCAATCAGCGCGGGGAAACGGGGCTTTGCTAGCTAAGCACCTTTCGTTATGGGCGGCGCCTAGAGCGGGACTACCCTCTCCTAAAATGTGTCTAACGTAAATATTAAAAAAGAAAAAAAAATTTGTGCGAGATGTAACAAAAAAAAAAACGAATTTGTCTCATGTAAGCCTCTTAAAATTTTTTTTTTCTTTTCATATTAGTGTTGAAATAATTCTTGCATTTGCAGCCTCACTGAAACAAATTTGGTCACAAAGAAAAACGCTCGAAGTTTTTTGGATGTTTCGAGAGACTGGTGGAAGTCACATTTTCTTACGGTGAGCTTGGCATCCACTGTGCAGGAAGAGAAGACGGCTCTACAAGTGGCTGCCCCTCCCCTCCGAAGAATGATCGAGGTCTTGGTAGCCGAACGAGAGAGTCGACGACTGAGTTGAGTCGACCTAATAAAGTACAGCAGCGAGCCGTCACTTGGAAAGGTTCAGCCAGTCCTTGTCGATGATGCGGTGCAACTCGGTAAAATTCCCGCCTGCGTTGCAACTGGTAATAAAAAAGAAATTTGCAGAAGTCTCGAGTGTTAATTAAAAGGTGCGAACTGAGACAGGATGAAAAAAGACACAGATACCGATGATGGGGATTGACAGTTTGACGATGTTTGGTGTTACATTAAATCAGTTGGAAGTTGGCACTTGTCCGTGTCATACGTGCGTCTTTTTTCGTCCTGTTTGCTCGCGCCTTTTAACCTTTTAATCGATATGGACCAACTAGCCCCAACCAAAGTTCTATTGCTACTCGAGTGTTACTTTGCATAAAGGAGTCCCTTTGCAACTGCATTCTTGTAAAAAATTTTGAGGTTTTTTTTTATAAAAACAACAACTCCACTCTCAAAATATTTCAAGAATTATTTTGACGTCTATGATGTCACTTCCGTAGAAAGGTAAAAATAGTGGCTTTATTATGTCGACGTCCCCTGTCAATGCGGCCGTCACAGGGTAGCCAGTGGTAGCCGTTGTGTTCTGCTTAGTTTCTGATGGTATTGTGTTGACGTGGTCGTGTGTCGCTGTCTCGCATGCATATGAAGTTGTGGTCCTTCTTGGCACTGGAAATGTCTTGTTCAGCGCGTGGGCTTGACCGGCTCGACAGTTGATCCTTTCGGACATGACATACCCGACGGCGATGTTGCCAGCTCTCTCGCGTCGTTTCGGCACGCGTCTCGCTTCAAATATTAAATCCAGCACAAAAGCGAGCTGAATAATCCCTCTACCTTGCCTGCATGTAACAAATATAAATGCGCACACAATGTAACACTGAAAGATTGGTACACTTTTTGTGCTTCTACGCCTCCACTAACCTGCGTCTTCGTACGGTTGCAGTCGCGTTGCATTTGGCTCCTGTCGTTAACTGGGTTTCGCGAGTTTGTTGCTTAGTTTAGATTTTATTTTTGGTTTATGTATAACGAGCAGGTTAACTACGAAGCTATCAAGATGTTAAAGGGGCCCTGCAATCATATTTAAACTTCTACCTTTTTTGTGGTTTCCATGTCTCTTGGGGTTCGGGCAAGCCAGCGGGCACGGAGAGAGTAACTAAATAATGCGTTGTATTTTAACTGGACGACACGGAACCTCTTCCACCTACAAGGGCGACCGGCAGTGGCGAAAGTGGGCGATATGTGAAGTCTTTGGTCCTGGGCTTAGGCCCACTTCAGACAGGGCAATTTCACCAAGCAACTTGATGTCACAACACCAGCAACACGGGCCACCCGCGTTCACACGCAGCAACCGAATTGCTCCGACTTGCCATCATCATCATTAAATTTGATTTCTCTTTCACTATTTAGACACCCAGCTATGCGCTAAAAACGCGTTCTTACATCTTTGAACGGCGCTGAGAATACTAATTCATTTTTCTGAAACTTCATTTCCAAAAACGATCCATTTCAAACCAGAACTAAGTCTTTAGCTGTCATCATCACCACCACAGGGGTGTCACGTGAAAATATTGCGTCTCTGATTGGCTGTGGCTGCTTCAACCGTCTTCGAATTGCTCCGAGTTGCTTGCTTGTTCGAGCCGGACCCGATCTCAGCAATTTGCGTCGATCTAGGGAAAGCTAGGGAACAACCCGCCAGCAACCTCAAAATTGCTGGAAAAGTTGCCCCCTCTGAAGCGGGCCTTACTATTGGTCAGAGTCGTTAAAAGCTTCTTTTTAGTCGAAATACAAAATATAAGTGGCGCGAACCGTTCTAAACATTCATGAAAGTAGTTTTTGTTCAGTATTTTAAATCAAAAAAGAAACATGCAGTTCAGAAAGTAAGGAAACGAGAAATGACCCGTCGATATACCCGCCACCAAGCGGTGGAAAAGGCGGCGCATACTAAGAAAGGGTTAGTGGGATCAGGCACCGACGAGCGGCAAGCATAGAAAGATCCCAAATGTATGCGGCGGCAGTGCAGTCGTATACGGGCTCGAGGATCCGACCAGTTCCAAGCGTTCGAAGGCCTTCGGCGAGCAGATTGGGCTTGCGGTTTGGCAGCGCGAAATGGCTCCCGTTTTGAACTGATCTTTACCCTGTGTTTGCTGTCGTTTGTGGCCAATGAATGTGGCCACAAACGATGAAAATTCGAATGTGGCCACAAACGAGAAAAATTTGAATGTGGCCAACCAGAAGCCAGAAATAATACCCTGGCGGTGGTCACGAGAAACAAACTTGATAAGTGCGTCGGAGTAACTCTTGTTGACGGAAAATATGCTGCACGTGATGTTTCAATCATGGTCATCCAAAATCATGGTGGAAGAGAGTGACTAGCGAAACAATCGACAGAATTCGTATGCCAAGCGTCGAGGGCCGGAAATCTGCCGTCCGAGTGCTTACACTCTGTCCAAGCAAAACAGAGTTGACAGGCGCATTCGTTTCTTACATCTTTCTGCATGATCATGATCGAAACATCACGTACACCCTATTTTCAACCATAAAGGGTTACTACATTTCACTCTTACGCTCTTATTAAAACCATATACCAACATATACCTTTGACCTAAAAAGTTTCTCGCTACCACCGCTAGGGCGGGATTCTTTTAGGCTTCTGGTTGGCCAAGGGAGCATGTCAAGCCGACTTTCTGCGTCTGGTGCACGCCCTAGCTCTACCCGCACTCCCCATTGACCAAACTCTGTATAGACCATTCCATTTAGCACTCTCTGGGCGGCGCCATTTTGTTAGTCAGCAGTGCCCTCTCCATACATTTGGGAAATTCAGCTGGTTCGGCGGGTAAAACGAGAGAGGGCACGTGCTCGACTCTGCTAGCAGACGACAAGCTGGGAGGTTACCATTCTCCATCTTTGAGTTGTACCGGCGGGCTGTACCGAAGATCGAACTCTTGCTCGTCGCTGCCGTCGTGAAATGGTTTACGTTCTTAGAAAGTTACGACTACTCCGAAATTAGCCTATAGCGCTCTGTGTTCTAGCACATTTTTATTATTATTTCAGACTTCCAATTATGGTTGGTCAAGACCTACTCCAGTACGAAATTTGTATAGTAAAAAAGGTACAGCAACCGAATTTACTTTTCGCCGGAGAGACCATCCAATCTGACACAGTTTTCCCTTTTTTTTTTATTTGCACGCAGGTAACTGCACAATTGAACCCTGTTAGTCTTTTTATCTAGCATAGTATTTCACGATAACTTGCATACCAAAATCCGTGCATCTGCGCTTGAAATTTCCAAAATGACGCGATTTTAAACCGAGTTCGCACGCCAGCCGGATATTAGGTACAGCCCACTTGGAGGAGCAGACGATGTACTGGGTGAGAGGGGGGGAAATTTTTTCAGGGTGTCAAAAAAAATTTACGTTTTTTTTTTTTTTTTTTTTATTGCAAAAATAAATTAGGCATTGCCGAACGCTCATTCTCCGCCCAAAGATAGCGCTAGAGGCAATTTTCTAGAGGTCACAACCAGATGTCAAATAGCGAGTTCGTTTCACACGCACTGGCACCGTTCGAGTTCTCTCCCAGAATGCATCGCACTCACAGAGTGTTGCACGGAAAACTGTACTCAAACGAACTCGCCCAATGCACCGAGTGCGAAAGACTGATGCTGCCGCCATCTATGTTGTAGAAAAGGTACCGACTTCAAACCGAAACTAGCGCCTTTCTGTTCGGAGTGATGCGTGAGAATGCGAGAATGCAGTCGGCTACCAACGTTTATCTAAAAACGTTGGTCGCTGCAACCTGTAGTTTATAGTTGCGATGACTTCAAGCAGCTCGGCTGCCGTAGAGATAGTTACAGACGGCGTAAATTGATGATGCTGTCCGAGCAGAAGCTTGATCCGCTTGAGCATGGTATTATGCGTGAACCACTGAAAGGGTACGGCTTAAAACTAGCCTGTTGGAATATCCAGCAAAACTGGGACTTTCGATTTGGATCGTCATTATAGGTGGATCAGAAATTAGCCTTGGTGAGGGCGTCAAGAACGAGGTCTTTCTCGAACAAAATACGACGGGGCAAGTTAGCTGACGTAGGTAAATGTTAAACATGATGATGTTGCCCAATCCTCGGGTAAAGTTACCATCTTTAGCTTTCTCTGATGCTTATTGGGCAGACAGAGGTTTCTGCTGGGGGAGTTTTGCCGACAAATGTTAAATTTTCCACCCGCACACGGGTGATGATAGACATCTCGGGGGCCGCTGTTACGTTTGTTCTGAGCATTTCTTTACACACTGGTATATTTCAGCGTTTGTACGGCAACAGAGTGATTTAAAACCTGCAAATAAATCACGGGTTGTCCAATTGCTTCCTTCGGGAAATAGCAGACGCTCACAATTCAAGCTCGCGTTTGATTTCGTGGTCCGCGGGACGCGATTTCTATCAGAAAATCTACTTTTTGTTCCGTTCGGTTCCGCGAATATCGTAGCAGACGAACCCTCGTCGTCTGCTCCCGCTCTTCGCCGGCCCCGCCGGAGCGAGGCATGACGGGATTGCATTTTGGCGCACTCCCGATTTTCTCGGTGCAGCGAGTGCATGCACGCGTGGGGTATCAGCGCTGAAACGAACTCGGAGAGTGCAACCACTCGTGGAGTGCCGGCCGAAACGAACCCGTTCCACGCTGCGAGTGGGCACGCGTGGGCACGAGGGCGGTGAAACGAACTCGCTAAAAGTTTCAGCCCGATTCGATACCTTATTCAAAAGTTATGTGATTTTCTGAAAATTTCAATGAAAAAATGGAGCCCACTTTTGCCTGTTTTCGGTTGTATTCAAAAACTCTGTCAGCCACCATTTTCTCCATTGAAATAATAAGAAAATCATTTATAACTTTTAAAGTATCGGATTGGACTGAATCTCTGCAGCATCTGGCAGGCTCTGGCATCTGGTTGTGACCATAGAGTTATTATAATGTACGCTAGAGGTTCAAGTGGCGCTAGTGTGCTGCTGCAAATTGAAGCAGACAGCAACCAGTCGGAAATTGACTTCCGGTAATGCATTTCTATGGGAAGAAGCGAGTACATTTTCTCTCCGCCCTCGAGTATAAGAGCAAATA